TTGTGGATTAAAATAAAAAATGTATTTGTTTGATTGCCATGGCTGATTGTTAATAGATCTGTCTTCATCTGAGCTGAAATAAAGAGAAGTCAGGCTTGAATATGAAGTTTGGGCTACTTTATGTTATGTAGGTAGTTTTGCTTTGAAATTTAACGTAAGATTGTGACGTTCCCTTTGCCGTTCAAGATAAGACTCCATGCAAATGTTCTCTGCATGTCATGAGTTTTCGAGAATTAGTATCAGCCAGCACTTTGTCATGACGCGTTCGTCTATCCGAATAAAAATAACTGATTTGGATCAAACTTTATTATAGACTCACATTAAATTTTTCGTATTGATATTCGTATAGTTTTATTCAACCGATTGAGAACGCCCTCATTTTATGTAAGCAAAAGTGTCATTACCGTGGTGTTTAGGGACCACCGCTGTCCTTATCTCGAGCTGGATGAATACAGTCCAAATTTCCGTATTATATTTATTTTCGGATTAAAATGTAGAATGTATTTGTGGCTATTTTGGTTTGAACTTTAAGGAGTACGCCCTGTAATTAGCCTGTGTAACCTAACATGTACTTTATGTGGTGTAATGCAATGTAATGCGCGAACAGTTCAATTCATTCGATTTGCCTTGTCTCCTTCCATTCTTCGAGTACCTCCTTCTTTCTCAGTTTTTCTCTTTTCCTTTATAACTTTTGTTTTACCCTAAGTGGAACATGTTTTCTATAGCGGAGACTGTGACTACTTCGGTACAAAGATGAAATGATATGCGGGTCCACCCCATGACACTCCTTGGTAGGCCGCTGCTCACTCCGGATGCGCGAAAGGTATGTTCACGGACTGAACGTGTGTTCATTATCGAAAATAATGTCGCGTTGAAATATTATTATGCTCTTTATGAAGCATTTAGCACAGAACAAGACGATTTTCAACATTTAAGAACGCAATATGTGCTTGTCCGTGATAAATTCTTATCGAGAGACAAAGCAACTGATATTACAGCCTTACCGATTTCAGGTAGTGCTTCAGGTTCAAGAACCGGACACGGCTTTAAGAATTTAATGTTGGATTTAGTAGTTTTGTGCTTCAAGAGATTCGTGTATTAGTGTTGTTTGCGTTTTCAGTGGAACAACACACATTACTAAGAGTACAATTCTTCCAGGTTATTAATTAACTGTGCCGTACTCCTCTAGGTATGCTGTTTGAACATTTATTAAAGATTGGATGAAAGATAGGAAGAAATGTAGTTAGGAAGAAGACTCCAATTTACTTTATCGTGTTTTGGGGGCAGTAATTGAACAGGCGATAAAATCATGTGCCATATAATTGTTTACCACTGTGTCAGATATAAACAACTCATTTGTGTTGTAATTTCGTTGCTAACTACTGATCTGATTAGAAATATTATGACTGTTTTCTAGATTTTCACCCAAATTAATTTACCCGCAGAAAATTAGTATGAAAGCAGCTAGATCGTTAAGTTAACAGCTTTATATGAAAACATTTTTGAAAGGGAACAGATGGAACTGTGTTCCTATACAGGACACGGTCGTTCCACGAGTGGTTTGTGACTTGTTTCCTGAACTTGTTTGAAGCTGAACGATTAATTCGTGTCACACCAACCCGAAGTGACCCCGAATGAGGAGGAGGTTATCAGTTGTGATAACTACATACGTAGAACGTCACAGCGCTCCACATATCAGCAGGAGGCTCCTGACCGGCTGAACAAGTGAGGCCGGGACCAGTAAACACTAAAGCCCTCCACCTCAATTCGTAGCCTCTGTGCGTAAAATCGAAAATTTACTTTGTCAGTCTAGGGGTTAAATATTTTTAAAAATTTGCGACAGAGAGATACGTTTTGTTTCTCGTCTCTGTTTGAAAGTCGCTGTGTGAAATATGTTAATTTCTCATCAGATTTTTGGGATATTTCTATATGTTTGGGTTCAAAAGCATCTTATTAAAAATTTCTAACTTTTATTCCATTTTCCTATCCGAAATCGGTGTTTCTAATAAACTTTCAGTTTTATTCATATTGTATTCATATTACAGGACGGTCTCTCAAATGTAACTACACACACACACAATTTTTTAGTCACACAAAAATTAAAACCTAAGATGTTAACACGTAAAACTGCATAATGGCGAGCTTAAAAATCTGTACTGCTCCCCCAATATTGTCAGGGTGATTAAGTCGAGAAGAATGAGATGGGCGAAAGGCGTGACATCTATCGAGCGCCAAAAGCAAGTGTAAGGCCCGCCATAAACGTTTTGAAATCTTTCTGCTAAATTTGAGATAACTTTTTTGTGTTAACACCTATGTGAACAAATTATAAATACATCAAAATGTCCAAAATTATCCATTGATTCCTTAGCCACGTGCTCACCCCCAATTGGTTAGCAGCCCGCTTTACCCTGCACCAACCATAACATATTCACTCTGAGAAAGGCAACTTCAGTATTTGCCGAAACGTTGGGTAATTTCTATATTCGCCGCGGATCCTCTTCGAAATCCACTGTTGTTTATTTGTTTTTATATTTTACCTTATAAAACTTTGCTTACGTTTGTGGTAGAATTTTAATGTAAGTTTGTAATGAAGAAATCTGAGCTAGTACTGAATCATGAGGCATTTCTTCCTAAACAATAAGTTCGAAGTATATAATATCAAAATTATTTAAACTATATGGCAAGTGTATCACAAGCTATAAATTAATTTTACAATCTAATGACCAATCTCTTTGAACCATTTCCAGTAGTGTGGAAATAATTTTACGGTAAATATGCCAAATGTAATATAAAAATTTTGTGTTAACTTATACAATATTTTTTATACGAAATGCATAAGTAGGCTTATGTTTTTGATCTATATCCACATA